ATATATATATATATATACAAAACATACATATAGGTATGAAGCTGGATTTTTGGAACAACGATAGAAATCAAAACCAAATATAGAAATAAATTACAAAAAATTGCCTAACATCAATACCGACATGAAACTCAACAGAAATAGTAAGAGCGTTCTTTACACATATTTAGATATTTCAGAAAAGATTTATAAAATTATGAGAAGACTTTCGCTTTTCTATTGGTCTCAATAAAGATAAAAGTATGAGTTTATCAAGGATGTCGAGGGTAATTTGATTAGTAAAAACATAAGTGCAGTATCAAAAATTAGACACACATTATTTTCACAGCTGAATAGATTTCTTGATATTTAAAAATTAATTTTAATACAATAGAAAAAAGATTAATAGATATGTATAGATCAATTAAAAATTATTGCAAAAACAATCCGGATATTATCTTTATGAAAAGTGGACAAAGGCAATATAATAGTTGCAATGAGTATAGCAGATTATAAAGAGAAAATGAATGATTCTGAGTGATCTGTCGACATATATATCGTGAACAAAAATCCAGTAAAGAATTTAAAATCTCAATTAACGTCGATTTTGAAAAGATGACACTCAAAGGAATTCAGTTCGACAACAATATTATTATTTAAAAACTAATAAGGCTCCGAATATTTATCTTCTGAAAATGCATAACAAAGATTATTTAGTCAAAATAATTATTTCCTAGGATAATTTTACATTGTATCGATTGGTTTCATTTTTGAATAAAATTTTATATGATAGCTTAGCACATTGTAAGAGTTTTAGAAAAAACAGCTTTGAATTATTTGAATAATTATCGGGCAAGATCACCGGATGAATATATAATGTTGTCACTAGATGTGACATTATTGTTCACTAATATTCCGTTAGATCTGGCATTATTAGGTATAAAGAATAGATGGAAATAATTTAAAAAACCAAATTGCTCTTTGAAGAATTTATATCAGTTACTAAATTTGTATTGTCATCTTTTTCACTTTTGAAGGAAAGATATTTAAATAGATATTTGGAGTGCAATGGGATAGCCATTGTCACCGATATTGTCACCGACATTGCAGATATTGTTATGCAAGACTTGGAAAACAAGGCATTTGCTGGTATCGGTGTAGAATTACCAATCTACCGATACATAGATGACATTCTGTTGGCAGCCCCAAAAGACAGACTTAATTACTCTTAGATACATTTAATAAATACCATTCAAGACTGCAATTCACTATGGAGTTAGAGGAGGAACATTGCATTAATTTCTTAGATCTTATAATTAAAATAGAAAATAATAGAATCACATTAGATTGGTTTCACAAGACATTCTCAGAAAGATATTTGTCTTTCTTCTCGAAACATCCGTTGTGTCACAAAATTAATACAATATAAAGCATGATGGATAGAGCTATATTATTGTCACATCTGTCTTATCATCAGAAAAATCTACGATATTAGTAGTAGATACATTATTAAATAATGGTTATCCTATGGATTTATGGATTTAATTTAAAAAAAAATGAACAATAGATTAAAATATTTAATTATGACAAAACTTAATAAAATTCCTGTGATACGACACGGTGAAGTTGAAGAGAGGCAGATCATATCCTTTTCTTATCCTTAAAAGAGCTTCGGAAATTATTGATCAACTATTGAATGAATTTATGATTGGCTATAAATGTCTGAATAAATGTCTTAATAACTTCATAAAGGGACATAAAGATAGAGATCCGGATCATCGCAATAATAATATTGTTTACAAGATTAATTGTAAGGATTGTGATACTTCTTACATACCGTTACGTCAAACGACCTACGTAAAAACGACTTACGAAGAAACAAGAGCATGATGGAGCATAAAATTGAGATATAAATAAGCATTCTGTTATTATTGATCATATGTTAGAGTATAATCACAGTTTGAATGGTCTGATGTAAAAATTCTAGACAGAGAAAATATGTAACTATTTTAAGAGATTAATATCTGAAATGATCCATATCAAAGCACAGAATAATGGGATTAATGTCAAAGAAAACACGATACTCTTAAATAAATCTTATTTCAATATCCTTGATAGAATTAATAATAACGATTATTGAATGTTTATGTTGTTGTTTTATTGTTGAATTGAATATTATTTAATGTCATGTCTCTTTTGCCACTTCATACACAATGCCATTAAGATCAGACGCATAAGTTTCATATGTAAGTTGCTTTGTTATACTTCCGGATGTTTAGATTTCATAAATTGTAATTTAATTCTAAATTTATCACATTAATTGTATTTCATTTTTAAATTTAGATTAATATAAATTACACCCGATGTTGCCTCATAAACATCAAGAGAACGTTTTAATCGAATGAATACTATAATTTATCGATATGTTCCGAATTTTCATTATGTAAGACTTTTAATATCAATTGATTATTAATATAACATATTTGCGACTAAAGAAGACTCACTAAAGTCGAAACTAGTTTCGCTAGATTAATGTAAATCGAACATTAAAATTATTTTAATTATATTACATTATCTTATCATTCGCTTGTGATCATCAATTTTTATACATAATTCTCTTATTGTGTTTTCAATAACTAGCAGAATGTTATTGATTATATATTCTTATGAAATTATGTTCAATAAAAATTTTAAAATATCAAATAATATAAATAATATAATATAAATAAAAAGTAAATACAAATATATAATTTATTCTAATACAAATTTGAGAAACCCTGTTCTATATATTTAAAAAGATATAATTTATACTTACAGTTAGTAGGCACATAAAAAGTATAGAAGTTTTCATTTTTTAACTTTCCTAATGGTAAGATGCGTACACAAGTTACAAAAGACTCTTTCTTATGTATTGAGAATTTCTCGACAATATATATATTCGCAAGAATGCACCTACACAATGATTGTTAATCATTTACACTCATATTTATTACACATATCATACATGACATGCGCATATTACACAAATACATTATATATATGACCATATTACGTCAAAACATTGCACATAAAATTATAAAATATTACCATAGTAGGTGACATTTTGATATACATCTTTATTGATCACATTAAAATATAATAAATATATTGTATAATATAATAAATATAAAATTACAATCAAAAAAAAAGATAATATATTCTGATATCTAAAATAAGCAATTTTCAAGGGAGTGTAACTTCATAAAAAATGATCGTAATGAGATCCAAAAAAAATTTTAAAGCTTTCATATAGCTTCGTAAAAAATCAATTAGAATATTATCTAAAATACCGATCTAAAAAGTAAAAATTTCAAGTTTTAAAAAAAACTTTAAGCTTTAAAAGAAACTTCAAACTTGGATTTCAAGATTCTTCTCTTTCTCTAATTGGTAAAAATTATTCTAATTTTCAATTTTCCAATTTTAACATTTTCATGTCTGAAAATTATAGCAAAAAAATGAATTAAAAATTGAATATTCTATTTGACAACATTAAACTTGTAATTGTTACGTTGATTAAAATTCTTTACTTAAAAGTATTTATGTTTCACAACAAAAATTAAATTTTAAAACGAAAATGTAATTAGAGAAGTAACAAAAGTTTTTAATTCTTACATAAGTTGGATTTTTTTACAAAGAATTGCAAATTTAAAAAAAGAATCCTACACACGTGCCTTATGAAAATTAAATTTCGATCGAATTGGCTGAAGATTTGATATGTTGTAGTCTTGATAAAAAGCCTCCACAAGCATGACTCTCTACAATAAATTATTTCATCTCTAAGAGGTGAAATAGTTCATTGTAGAGAGTCATGCTTGTGGAGACTTTTTGTTGTAGAAAGGTTATTTTTCAAAATTGTTTAATACTACAATATCTTATTTTAATAAATACAAAAGGTCAGCATCTTCAAAAATCAGTGACTTTGAACAAACCAAATTTGAAAAATAATGTCTTTTTTATACAGGGTGATCCGAAATTCACGAATTCGGAGTACAGGACATGATTTTTTTATGATAAAACAAACTTTTTTCTTTTAGCAAAATTGCGTCCGACAAGTTTGGCTTTCTTCCATATCATGTTGTTTAAATAATAAAAAAATTAATAAAATAATAAGTATTGCCTTTAATTCTTACATAATAAATAAATAAATAATTGTCTGATTGCAGCAATATCATCTGAAAATAAAGACAAATGTAAATAGTAATACACATTGCATGCAGTGAGCGTTTTATTATTCCAAATATTGCACTTACGTAAAATAATATTAAATAGTATTAAACTTAAAGAATAATTTACTGATCAAGCGAATACATTTGTAACAGATGATTAAAAATAAAGTATAATATTTTATTATATTTTCAATATTTTGTAGGTAATTTTTTTTTAAATAAATAAAGAATTTGTAAAAGAGCCGGTGAAACTATAACTAAGATGTTATACGCGCGTACACACACGCTTTGAAGCAAGGGAAAAGATGGGGAAGTCTCTTCGCGAACAGTCGTAAAATATATTTTAAAGCAGAAAATTTTTGTTCTATAATAAAAAGAGACATCATTTTTCAAACTTTTTTTTAAATAACTTTTTAACCAATAACGAGCGATAGCAAAATTTGATGGAGGCTACTCAGAGTCATGACTTTGACAACATATCAAGGTTATTGATTTTTGAAAGTGCACACTTGTGAATATTTACCTTTATTTTAAAGTACGATTCTTATGTAATTATTTGCAATTTCTGTGTATATGTTTAAGTAAAAAAAAGATATAAGAATAATATCGACTTGATTGTTTCTTACAAAAAAGTTATAATGATATTAAGATTAATAATTTGATTTTAGAAATTTAAGCACTCCGATTTGTGAGAGGCCAGGTTACTCACAATAATCAAGTACTCTGATTTGTGAAAAGCAATTATAAAAATTAATATTAACCTTATAACTTTTTACTTAAAAATATAAATAGAAAATCCAAATAATGACGTAGGAATGCACTGTATTCATTGAAAATAAGATATTGTAGTACTAGTCCGTTTTGAAAAATCTCGTAGAGATGAAACGATTCATTATGGGGAGGTAGTGCCTATAAAGACTTTTTATTAGGATAAGATCTATAACATATCCAATTTTTAGTTAATTTGACCGAAATTCAATTTCCTTAAAGTTTGTGTTTTTTTTTTTAATTGATTTTATTTTATATTAATTTATTTAGAATATATACAAAATCTTACAATAAAGTGGAAAATAACTTGCGATATTATAAAATATCTACTAAATTATGATTACATTATTATAATAAACATATTACAAAATGAATCAATTAAGACACAATTGTATCAATTTTAGGATACATTTATGGTTCGTAATCTTACGGTAGAAAAGAAATTAGATAATATAGAGAGAAACAAGATATGAAATTAAAAATATCATTACATTAAAGATATCATTACATATATAATGCAATTGAAATTAATTATACCAATTAATTTTAACATTATTTTAATAATACATCTTCTTTCAATGTCATAATTTTATAATTTCACAATCGATCACATTCCAATGTTCAGCATTACTTTATACTTTATTTTTTTATAAATGTCATTTTGTTTCCAATT